CCTCCCCCGCCCCCCTCCCTCCCTCCAGCTACGCACCGAGGAGCCATGCCCTCCACCCAGTATCCTTCCTCTCGCCCCCAGCAGTCGGGTGTGTGGACTCCCACTGCTGCCTCTCAGCCGCCACCTTGTGTAAAATCGCCTCGCTGTCGTGGTGCGGCGTCCGAGCGTGGTTGTAATACTCGTCATGCGGCGAGCTCTCGTCGTATTCCTCGGCGTTGTTTTCGTCATCCTCGTCGGCGAGCATGGCGTCGGGGAGGGGGGTGACTGCGGGGGGCACTAGGAGCTTGGTCTCCTTGAGCCTGCTCTCGATGAAGCCGTAGAGGGCTCGGTTGTGGGCGCGGCGGGACATGTGCGTCGGGCTCTTGGACGCGCTGCGGCAGATGTGCTTCAACGCCCGCCAGGCAAACCACGCGAACTGCCTGCAACAGACACACAGACAGATGGCCGGCCGCGGTGAGGAAGGGGAGGAAGGGGAGCTCCACTCCACTGCACTGACCTGCAGATGAACGTGATTAGCCATCCCGGGATGTCGACCTTGAAGTCGACTGTCCATGAGGCCTGGAGGTAGCAGAGGTTGGCGCTCTTGGGGTAGAGGGCGATGCCGCCGTCTACACCCAAACGACACGCGCCATCCTCCACCGCGGGGATACACCGCAGACCATCCTGTGGCAGGACGGCAGACACACGCACACACACACACAGATACTCGTGTGTGTGTATGTGGTCATGGCGGCCATGCGTCAAACATACCCGTGGCATCTTATCGGTGTTGTGGTCGGTGTCGTACATGCGGGCGACGATGCGCGGCCTGGCCGACTCGAGCTCGTCGACGGCAAATATGAACAGGCAGGTCTCCCTGTTGCTGAACGGCCACGGCATGTCCACTCTATCGACCACAACACACACACACACACACACACACAGACACACACGCGCGTACTCCCAGCTTGGCCTGGCATGTGTGTGCCTCTGTCTGCGAGTATGGGCTGACTTGAATATGTCGATCTGATCGATTCGCCCGTTGCGCCACAGATTCAACGAGTCACGCAAACCCAGCCTGACCAGAAGACGCACAAACACACAGAGAGGATGGCCGGGTGCCTCCATGCCGTCACCCTCCCTCCCTCCCTCCTCTCCCTGTCGGTCGCTCACTTTATGGGAATGGTGAAGTAAGGCACCCACATTTTAAAAAGGTCGATCTCGTTGAGGACGCTGAGTATGTCGATCAGCGGCGCGTCCACGAGCCCCTCGCACCTCAGTGTGGCGGCGCTGCAGCCCTCCGTCCCCTTGTAGAGCACCCGCAGCTTCTCCCCGTTGTCGAGATGGCAGATCCACCCCTCACGCGAGTCGATCGTCGAACAGAAATCGTCCACCTCCTGGCAGACAGATACCATACCAGGCACTAAACTATATACCGCCTCTGTGTTGTCTGTCTTTCTCCGGGTCATGTCATGTACCTGTTTCCTCTGCGCAATGGCCGCGAGCACAGGGTCGTCCACGACGGACTCTTGGCCGAAAGTGTGCCTCATGAAGGCCAACACCTCGGCCGCATCGCCCGTGCGGTGCAGCTCAGCCAGACGGAGGGCTTCAGACTGACAAACAGACACACACACATCAAGGCGTCCATCTTCAGGCAACAATCGCCTCGCCATCTCTGCCCACCTTGGCTTCCTCCGGCGTGTCGAAGTAGAAGGACTTCTTGCTGGTGGGCGAGAGCGATGGAGCTGTCGCCAAGGAAGGCGACGAGTTGTTCTCTGATGTGCCATGTGGCAGCGGCGACAGCTCGTCCGCCAGAGTCGCTGATGCCATCATTTGTGAACCTCCCTCCTCTCCCGTCGAACGCGAACGTCAAAAATCGCGAGCTCGCCATTGCGAGCTTAGCGCCAGTTTGATCTCCCCGTTCTCCTGCCTCAGATGGCGTCTATCTATCGCCCACTGAGACCTCCTGCGCTCCCGGCTCTCATCCCACTGCCCTTCACTCATGGCCGTCACTTCGCTTCATCCACTACCCGGGCGCTTGATGTGCTGCAGATCCCTCAGCTGGACGCATCCCCCTTTCTCGCCCTCGTGGAGCGGCTGACGGCCGACCGGCATGACTCCCGCCAGACCTGGAGGGTGATAGCTCATCGGCTGGACGGCCTGGCGGCCTCGCTGAGCCCCTCACAGGCCGTCCGTGTGTGCGCCTCCATCGCTGCAGTGAGGCGGGACGTCCTGCTGGAGGACACAGGCGAGATGGCCAATCTGATGAGCAAGCTGCGGACGTCTGCGCGGTCCCTGTCAGGGAGCGAGTTGGCTGCAGCAGTGTCGGTGCTGGTGTATTCGCGGCGGTTCACCAAGGAGATGCAGGCGGTGTTCAATCCCGAGGTGTCTGCACGGCTGACGGGGCTGGACCTTCCTGCTCTCGTGGACATCGGGGCCTCATACGCACTGCTCAAGGTCTGACTGACAATGAGTGCCGCACACCATACACGGAAGTCATTGTGTGTGTGCGGATGGGGCGCAATGCAATGCGATGGATGCAGGCAAAGGCGGCGAAGAATCTGCAGCTGTGGGACAAGACGTGGCAGACGGAGAACCTCCCACACAGAATCAGCCGACAGATCATCCAGAGGATGCCTGACATTGCGGCTCTCGCCAAGGACAACAAACAGCTGACCAGCCCCTCTCCCTCCCCCTCTCCCTCGCTCGCCCCATCCGATGCCCTCATCTGCCGCGCCATCCACGCGGCCGCCCACCTCGACCAGCTGGATTTCGCAACACGCAACACCCTCAAGAAACACCTCGTCGACGCACTGCCGGCAATGGACATGAGCGAGCTGAAGCTTTTTCCCTCCGCCATGCATGCCATCGGCTCGCGAGACCCGGAGCTGTTCAACCGGCTGCTATCGAGCGTGTTGACGGGCCTGTCTGTCGGCCAGTGGAGTGGGCGGGATCTCTTCTCTCTCAACAGACGGGCGGCCCTCCTGCAGTTCGACAAGCAGTCGGAGGACGATTCAGCACCATCCTCCGGCGGCAGCAGCAGCAGCCTATCGTCTGGAGAGGGAGGCGACACGGAGAGCGGCAGCCACCGGCTCGCCCACCACCTGCTCAGCACGTGTCTGAGTCTGCCCATCCCGGGCCTGATCGCCGTCGTCGACGGCTGTGCATTGTCGTCGGCCAACCACCAGAAGGAGCAGGAGGGCCTCGTCAAGGACGTCAGCGAGGCCATTGCCTTCAAGGTGACGGCGCAGCTACCCCGGCTGACGAACGCGGCGTCACAGGGTCCACAGGAAGCCCCGGCCAGCGCCGCATCGCCGGAAGGACAGAGAGTGGCGCGGGAGAGAGAAAGGGAGGGTGCGAGTGGCGGCCACAAGGCACTGATGGCCAAGGAGTTCGCCCAGCTGATGCTGTCACTGAGCGAGCTGCGTTTGCCGCGACAGCACAAGACGGTCAAGGTAGTGGGGGAGCACATTGACAGGGTCGTGGGGGGCGGCCCACACCCGACTGCCGAGCGGCTCGGGGCCTTCGACATGGACGACCTGACGTCTCTGGCTCTGGCGGTGGCCAACTTGACGCAGTTGGGGTACTCTGCGGCCGATGCCGATGCGCTGCATGGGCGTGTCAAGGGGCTTATGGAGGAGAGGGCTGTCGAAATGATGACCGACGAGCAGGTCAGGCGGCTCACAAACACCATCCGCAGAATGGAACCCAACACTGCCGAGGTGAGTGAGCCCCAGCAAGATAGAGAATCAACCACAGCCGCCCCACCCTCTCTGTGTGTGCCTCGGCAGGCGATCAGCGGTTATTGCGAGCTACTGTGCTACCGTCTGAGCGTCCAAGACGGCCCGTCGGCGTCGGCCCCGCCGCCTCTTGAGGCGTCCAGCATCGCCCACATCCTGCTCAAGACACTGGACGTGCTGCGCAAACACGGCCTGAGGCGGGAGATGCAGCTGCTGCTGGTAAGTAAATATGTCGGAAGGAAGCCCCTTGTCTGAACTGAACGAAAAGATGAAGTGGAAGTGTGTGTGGTCGTGTCGTCCGTCCATGTGGTTGGTCAGCTGAAGGCAACGCAGAGCCTGGCTGATTTCCTGGTCCAGGCTGAGGAGCAGTGCTCCCTGGCGTCTCTTGGGTTGAGCGAGCGTGTGTTGGCTCACATGCTGATGGTGTGCTCCATTTTGATAGAGGAGGTCAGCTACGGCGACCCACTCAGGGGACAGGCCGTGGGATGCCTCGCCACTATTGCACGGTATGTGTGTGATGGGTGAGGGTGAGACACGATTGATGGGACGAACGCCGAATGGCGCTTCTGTGTGTGTGTGTGCTGCCTGCTGCCCTCAGGCGTGCTGGGCGAGCAGCTGTCCATGTGCCACTGCGCTATGTGACTGAGGTATGCACACCCCATGGCACCATGGCACCATGCGAAAGCGGTTCCCCTTTCCACCTCTGTGTGTTGTGTTGTGTGTGGCCATGCCATTCATTCGTTTACTTACGTGTGCATCAGTCATTCCTCGACGCTTTGCCCGTGGATGCGGATGAGGTGCGGGCATATCTGCTGCGCGTCAAGCGCACCAGCACACCCCCACCGCCCCCCGGCCCTTCCCCCTCAGCCACACAGGACAGGAGAGGCCAGCAGGTGGCGATGCACACCAAGGCCACTGCTGCTGAGGCACTGGCGTGAAGAGGCAGCTTCTGGTCTGTTGCACGACGGGACGGTGTTGCCATGGGCATCAGTCAGTGCCCATGAACATCGCTGTCCCGTCATGGGACCATCAAACAGAAGACACCCACAGCCAGCCAGGTGGACGGACGGTTCACAGCTGGGTGGTAGCCTTGCGGGCCGCGCCGCATGTGGTGCACCGCGTGCGTGTGATGTGTGGTTTGCTGGATAGCGATGGACATCTGCACGTGTGCCGTGCTGCAAGCCACTTTGGAGAGTGTCGATCGTCCGACCGTCCACACACCCTCCCACATCCATCCATCCATCCATCGCTGTGCGTCTCTTGTCCCTCACTCACTCAGCTGGCTTTCGTTTCTTGCAGCACTCAGACACTCAGTCAGTCAGCCACTCACTCAGACTGCCGCATGCCATCATTCATCCATCTCATGAATCCTTCGATCGGTCAGGCCATCCATCCATCCATCTGTATCTCCTCTCCTCTCCTCTCTCTCCTGAGTGGACTCATTCGCTGCCTGCTTCCTTCAATTTTCGGTCGGTCAGTCTGACTCAGTCAGTCACCTGCACACCGGCCATCACACACACACACACACACACACATGCCGGTAGGAGAGTGTCGTTAGATGTGTTCGTGAGTGTGCTCTCACTGTGGTTGCCGGTGTAGTGGGTGTGGCGGCGAGTGGAGTGCGAGGGCGGCAGGTGGCGGTGCACAGACTCTGACGCAACGCACACAAGATATCACACGCACCCATGCTGTCGTCCTTCTCGGTGTGTATGTGTCTGTTTGGTGTGCTCTCCCACTGTCGTCGGCCATGGTAATGAAGGACTCTGCACACACCGACACGGATCGTATCAATCAAGTCTCCGTCTCTCTGTCTTTCTGTGTCTCTCTCTCTGTCGTGCTTTGGCTCCCACCGTGCGGGCCCTCGTCGTTCAGGCGGTCCGTGGCTGGCGTCACACACACACACACACACAAGAGAGATTGTCACGGAAATGACCATTTGCAGTGTGGTCCGGCCGGCCGAGCTTGTCCCTCACCTTCCGCAATGGTGCCCATTGGATGAAGCATCCCGGAACTGATGGCATACATAGGTATGTGCTCTCGCACACACACACGCACAGAGAAAGAGCACGTCTCTCCGCCTGTCTGTCTGTCTGTCTTTGACTGGTTGGTTACGTCGTCTGCTGATGCGTCCAGGTTTGGAGGGTTTCACCTCCTCCTCTCGAAGTTCCTCATCCTCAACGAGGACCTTCTCTCCCTCAGCTTACACACACACACACACACACTCTCAGCCAGGCAGCCAGTCTTAAAGGTAGGTCACTCACTGGTGTCTCCGCTGACGTCGTCCCCCTTATCGGCGACGATGGGGGGATGCGGCTCTTCCTTGGTCTCTGTGGGGGTCCCTTCACCGCCCTCATCGGTCCCACTGGTCTCGTCTTCTGCTGCAGCCGGCAATCCAGCCTCTCCCTTGGGGGCTGCACACACATGCGCAGCAAAGCAGAGGGCAGTGCAGTGCAGTGTGTATCCATGGATGGATCGACAGGCTTCGTATCTCCGCCAGTCTGTGCCCCCCCCTCCCTTCCCTCCGAACACACGTTGACATGGTCACTCACCTTCCCCTCCGCCAGCCCCTTTGTTGAACTCTGCGCCGCCCTTGTGGGTGTACTTGCCGTACCCCAAGCCGTGGGACGCTGGCTTGACCGGGCCTCTCTCGTCCGTGAGAGGCCGGGCCGCTGTCCCTGGTATTCGGACTTGACGCCCTTGTACTTGCCGGTGCTGGATTCGTAGCCCTCCGTGGGTTTGGCCTGGCCGGGCCGCTGTCCCTCGTATTTGGACCCGCCGCTCACGTACTTGCCGGTCCGGGATTCGTAGCCCTTGATGGGTGGGGCCTGGCCGGGCCGCTGTCCCTGGTATCTGGAACTGCCGCCCTCGTACTTGCCGGTCCGGGATTCGTAGCCCTTGATGGGTTTGGCCTGGCCGCGGCGCTCTCCCTGGTATCTGGAACTGCCGCCATGCTTGTACTTGGCCTCGGGGCCGAGGTTGGAGGCTGCACAGGGCCAACAGAGCCACACACACAGAGGGACAGAGAGAGAGAGAGAGAGAGATGATGGCATGGCTGGGTCGGATACCTGGTTTGATAACAGGTTTGATTCCCTCCCTCTTCTGGTGCTGGTGGGGCATCTTGGGTGCTGTAATGGACAGAGACACCACAGCCAGACAGACAGACAGACAGACAGAGGAAGGCATGTGTGCATGTCTTGTGTGTTGTGCTGTGTGTGTCTCGTATGGCCTTTTTGGCGGTGTCTGTACTTTCTCCTTCCTTGTTGAACTGTGCCCTGCGGTCGTTCACATTCACGCCAGTGTCGATCGGCTCCTTCTCTTTCTTCTCCTTCTTCTCGCCTGCAAGTGGCACAAGCGTCGGTTGGCTGTGGCCAAGACCATTCAGGAGAATCTATCTCCTTTGCGGAATACAGCCATCTCTCTGTGCGGGTGTGGGTGTGAGTGTGGGTTTGGAAGTGTGGTTACTAGGCTCCACGATGGGGAAGTTTGTTGTCCCGACTTTGCGGATCGCTGCAAGCCAACATGGATGCATGGATGGATGGATACATGAGAACAACACCCATACATACTCACTTTTCAGCCTGAACCCCACTGCCTTGATGGCGTTCTCGAGCGCCGTCTTCAGCTCCTCCTCATCTGCAGAGACTGCATAACCACACACAGACACGGAGATTTGCTGTCTCCCTGCCTCCCCTCTCTACTGCTCACCGTCTTTGGGATCGACGGAAGCCTCAATGCCCTCACACACGTCCACCGTGCCCTCCTTTTTTCCGCGCGGCTTGACAGGGGCCTTCATCGGCTTGCCGCAGTACTTGTCGGCCGGTTCGGGCATGCACACGCCGAAGTACATGTGGTCCTCGTCGGTGGCCTGGTCCCCAAAGGCGAGGGTGATGATGGCGTCCTTATTGCCCATCTTGATGGACTCCTCGGCCAACTCGGCCCACGTGTAGGGGCCCTTCTGTTTTAAGAAGAAGGAGTAGAGCTTGTAGCCCACACCTGCAGATCGACACGCAGAAAGCCATGGTTGCGTCGGCTGAGCGGCTGTGCGTCTGTCCGTACGCACATTTGGTGTTCTCTTTGCATGTGTAGGCGTCGGTCTTCTGGAGGAGACCAGGTTTGCCCTCGCCGTAGAAGGCGCACAGCTCCTCTCTGCCCCTCTTGCCGTAGGCCGAGATCGTTGTGGTCTTGCCTGAGTCGAGTCGACAGAGGATGGCTGAGTTCTCTCGGTCAGGTATGTGGCTTACTCCCGATGACGAAGCCCTCGCTCGTCACGGCTGCATTGAAGGGCTCTTTCAACTCGGCATCTGAAAGCAGAGCAACCAACGTTCACTCAGTTAACAGACCATCCATCCATCCATTCATCCATTCTCCGTCCATGCCGTTTTTGCCCTTGCAGTACGTGGATCCCTCCAGCACCGTCAGTTCCGTGGTCACCTTGGTGCGAGGTTATTGTCTTTGAGCGTCTCATGGTACTTGTAGGTCGTCACGAACACGTCTTCAGGCTTTCCAGCGCACTCCTTGTTGGTCGCCTCTTCTTTCGGGCGGCAGACGCCCCAGAAGACATGCTTTGCGTGATCGGGAGTGGTGAAGCCGAAGAGGAGGAGGCCGACTTCTCTGTTGTTGTTGCGTTTGATGGCCTCGATGCCCTCGGCGGCCCACGGTGTGGGACCGCCCACACCTGACACAGACACACAGAGAGGAGAGGAGGAGACATTGCTGCCTCGTGTGGACTTCTTTCCGATGATCGATCCATCGATCGGGAGGCACACACACACATACACGTGAGGCCGGCTTGGCATGCGAGTCTGGGGCTCTTGAGGACAAGGTCCTTCCCTTTGTCGTCCTTCGCCTCAGGATCGTAGAAGGCACACAGCTGCTCTTTTTCTCGCCTCGCCAGTTTCTGCACCTGCAGCTCCTCTGACACACACACACACACACACACACACAGAGATGCGGGAACAGGTAGACAAGTAGACACGTGTGTGGTGTGGTAGCCAACCCCGGATTATGAAGCCTTCGTCTTCGGCGGCCTCTTTGAGCGACTTCTCGAGCTTGCCCTCCTTGTCTGGCGGGAAGTCTTTCTCCTTGCCAATGCAGTAAGTCGCCTCCATGGGATCCGCTCCCTGAACCGGACCTTTTTCTCCCACCATCTCGCTGATGGCCGTGCCCTCCTTGGTCACCTTCATCTTGGCGGGCGGCTCTTTGCAGTAGGTGTTGGTCGACGTCTCTTCGGACGGCATGCACACGCCCCAGTAGATGATCTTGTCCTTGATGCCCGTGATGAAGGCCCGGTGCAGGATGGTCTGGCCCTTGTGGGTGTTGGCTTGGATCGCCTGCATGACTTCGTTGACCCACTTGGGGCCGTGCGCCGGCAAAGTGTAGCGGTAACCCACACCTAGGCCAGATGGACAGAGACGCCGAGACGGAGACGGTTGGTCTCTGCAATGCCATGTGCACTGATGGGTAAGTGGGCCTCTCACATGTGGCCGGGTCCCGCGTTTATGGGGTTTTCCCTCCGCCAGCGGTGCACGAGACGGCCTCTGTCGGCACTCTGTGCCCCTTGGCCTGCGCACGAGCACATAAATCGGTGCCACTGGATGATTCCTATTAGCACAGCATGATACCTACCTCGGGGTCATAGAAGGCACAGAGGGCGTAGCGGTTGCGCCACTGCGGCTGGGCTGTCTCTGGGCAGGACATAAACGGGACAGCAAACAACAAACAATGCACCCATTGGCCATGCAAAGAAGCCGATGGCAGAAAGACCGCCGGGCGACTCACCCTCAGCGACGACTGTCGAGGTCTCATTCAGAGCCCTGCGATCAAGGGAAGCAAAGGGCACTCTCCCGCTGGCCAGCGGAAGTGCCGCTGCCACAAATGCAATGGCCACTGGCAGCAATTTGTGGCATTGTGACACGCGCATTTTGCCGCAAACTGCCGCGAGGAGAGCTGCTGCCGATGACTTGAACAATGCCGATCAGCAACGGGCTTCGCTAGGAAGCATAAGACGGATTCGCCACTTGCCCAGTCTGCATGCAGTGGATCGATTGCATGCAGACTGGGGGCAAGGCTGGGGCAGTCACAGAAGAAGCAGAATCCAGAAGAAGCAGGGAGAACTCCAGAAGCAGGGAGAACTACTACTTGCCACCACTCTGCCATCCTAATGCTGCGGCTCTTCCTGCTGACCATCTCATTGCACCCATGCCTTGCGTGGCGGACGGCAAAGGGCGCGACCGCCTCCAAGTGCATAGATTCTGATGCATCACCGCAATTTGCAGTGCCGGCACGACGAACCTGTGGTGTTTTTTGATTGGTTGCAGATGGGCATGGCGAAAGCCCCTGGTCGCATTGCATCACCATCAGCCTTCCTCCCCACCACCTGACCACAGCCCGCCGAAGAAAGGCAAGGTCAGTGAGTCCGAAAACGACTCTCCAATCGGTCGCTGCATGTCTGTTTTCTCCACCCGGGGGTTTTCCCTCCTGATGTCGTGTGGTGTGATGCAGGCCCTTCTCCCGCCAGCACAAGCGCCAGACTTGGAACAACGTCGAAAGATGATCCAGGCCATCAACCCATCAGCACGGCCGCCACAAACTTCGACACAGCCCGACGGCGCCGGCGAAGGTATCCACGGCCGTCCATACGAACATGCGACTTCTCTGCTCTGACACGTTTCTCACCACCATGCAGGTCCGGGAGAGCCCGCTGAAGAAGTGCCAACGGCACCACCCCGCCCCAGGAGAGACGAGAGGAGACGCAAGGTCTGCGGGAACAAACCCACGCTCGATTGACGCACCCCTGAGGGTCGGTTCTCTCCTTCCTCTCTCTCAGGCCCCAGAAGCAGCAGGGGCTGCTGCTGCTGAAAAACACATCGCGCCCAAGAAGACAACAGAGTCAGTGGCACCAGCCCCCAAGGCGGCCAAGCTCCAGCCCCACAAGGCGCAAAGCAGCCTCATCAGGGGCAGGTGCAGCAGCCGTCGACTGGGAAGAAAAGGCAGGCACCCTCGCCGCCAACAAAACAGCGGTCGACTGCGACGAAGAGGCCGCCACCCTTGCCGCCAACAAAACCTCCCTCAGACAAAGCCGGAAAAAGCAAAGTCATGAATGCACTCGCAAAGCTGAAGCCGCAGAAAGGAAAGACCGAGAAGGGAAAAGCCGGGGAGAAAGGTGTACATGTACCCGGCTGTGGCGAGATAAAGACCGAGGGCCAGCTTTGTGCCTTCTACGCCGGGACAGAGCAAGGAGGGAGGAAGGGGACGCTGCAGTTCCTGCCTCCGACAAGGGAAAGCAAATGTGATCCTCACTTCACATGTACGTAAGCAAGGAAGATGGAGGGAAAGACGCGTAGCAGCCCAGCCCAACGACCAAATCCCTCTGCTCATGCACACACACAGGTGTCGGCTACCATTGGACGAGCAGACAGAGCCCCTTACCGCAGAATGTCCCCATTTGGGCCAGCACAATGATGGACGACCTTAGCAACGAAGAGATCATGGCGACCTTCTGCAAAGACAAGACATGCGAGTACCAAAAGCCCGGTGACCGCAAAAAGCAGCGCGGCTTCGAGGCCTACAAATCTCTTTTTGCCGGCCGTCATAGCATTGTCAGGTGGGGCGTGTGTATAGCCAACGAGTACGCATGGAGGATCCCTGAAGGCGAGACACAGACACAAACCAACGAGCCGCTCGACGAGGCCTGTGCGGAGCCACCCACGACGCTGAAAGATATCAGCAAGAATCCCTTCAGGGTGTGTCCGGGGAACTCGTTTCTGACCGAGGGCCAAGAGGGCAAGCCCATCTCAAAAAGCTGGAATTTAGCAGCCTGGAAAGATCTGCAGGAGGGCGGGATGGAAGCCTGGCTGTATGACCGGTTCGCAGGGGCCTTTGACTTTGGTGAGGGAGCGGGAGCTGCATCCTAACAAAGGACACACACACACACACACACACACACGAAAACACACACACCGAGTCACTTGTGTCTCGTGAGTTGTTGGTGTATATAGCAAGGCGATGTGAGACCGGCGAGATGACGGCCAGCACCCCGGTGGCAACTGAAGCGCTCACAGAGACCGTGCCTGTCTCCGATAGCTTCTCTGATGACGGCAGCTGGGGCGAGAGCTGGGACAGCTTTGACGACTCTACACAGGAAACATGAGGCGTGAGTGAGCGGGGGGATCTATGGCAGCTGTGTGTGTGGTGTCGGCAGGTGTGAACGTGTGACATTGCGCGACGCTGTGTGTGACATTGGGTGTGACGATTGCTGATGTCCGACTCTAAGAGCTTGAAAGGAACCAACCGGTGGTCATGTGTCCGTTGCATTCGTGAAGCCAAAAGAAATCCCCCATCCATCCATCCATCCGTGAAATCAAACCGTCCAGCCGAACCGACACAAGAACGAAAGGAAAAGAAAAGAAACCGGCGTGGTACCCCCTCACCCCGCCCCCTCCTGGGCCCTTCTTCTCGACCGGGTCATTTTCATTCGAACTCCTTGAAGTTGGTCATTGTGTACTGCTGGAATCCGCCTCGGCCAGGCTCCTGGGTGATCTGCGGCGAGTCGAAGAAGCTGCAGATGTCCTTGGTCAGGCAGAAGTGAAAGTGAGTGTTCTTCATGACGCCATGGAGCTTCTCGATCTCACAGCACCCCAGCCCCTCCACCTCGTCACTGGCCACCATGCAGTTCAGGGGCACCTGCACCCACACACAACAGACGCCACACGCCACACAGAGGGCACACCAATGGCCAGATCTACGCCACAGAAAATCCATCACCCAAACCTTTTGCATGCAGAATCGGTGCCGCCCTCATTGGTGGATGCGTGTATGAGGACGTTGTCGATGAATTGCTTGAGCTTGGTGTTGGAGGTCACCTCGGGCATCCCCTCTCGGGCCTCCTCGATGCGGAGAGGGCTCAAGAAGGGATCCTTCTGGTGCTTCTCGGTGGGAGGGTGGATGTTGAGGAAACCTGCACTCATCCCAACCACAGATCATGCGTACAAAGAGCTCGAACCGGCCAGGATGGAAAGCGGGCGGCCTTTCGCTGGTCTTTTCCCGCCCCCCTGTGCAGTCGTACTCTTGGCGCTTTGAGCCTTGGCCTGGGGCAGCAGGGAGAGAAGGGCGAGGGCAGCAACGATGGCAGCCACCACCTTCATGTGCATCGGCATTATCGAGAGCGAGGTGAACTGAGTCTGGGGAACGGGTGGATGGCTATGGGAGAAAGGCTACGGGTGGATGGGAACAACAGAACGGGGAGTGAAAGTGCGGGAGATGGGGAAATGAACGAACGCCAGAACTTGCGTTCAAGGGCGCGTTTCACGGAGGCCCTTTTTTCGTCTCTTGCATGAGCCAGGTCAGATGGACGACCAGACACCTGATCTACGAGCTCTATGAGCCATCGCGCTTTCTCACGGTGGACAGTTGTGAAAGATCTGCCCTTCCCCGCCGACTCTCATCAGTGGCTGCAGCCGCACGACAAGTACAACGAACCCTTCCTGAGCACATGGCTGGCGCAATGGAGGTGCAACAAGGCGCCAGAGCCACTCATGGAGGAATGCTGGATCAACGTAGTCCGTCCCCTGATGAAGGTAAGGTACGGACCAGCAGGAAGGGAGATCTCGGTCAAACCGTGCTCGCGAGTGCATTCAATTCATCTCGCTCTCCCTCTATGCTTGCGTGTGTGTGTGTGTGTGTGTGTGTGTGTGTAGGGTGGTCGTCTGCCCGTCTGCACGCTGCCAGAGGTGGCCCTTGCCTTCGCCGCCAGACCCTGCGCGTCGCACAGCCGGCTGCCGTGTGCTCGGGAGGTCCTCACACAGATTGGCGACTACATGTGCCAGCAACTGGCAACGGCGGATGGAAAGGGACATCAGCAGCAAGGTGGTGAGATGGAAAAATGGGTGGGATGATTTGTGCTTTTTTTTCGTCTTGGTCATTAATTTGTTTCAGAGTTGGATCTGACACTGCACATGAAGCTGCTGCAGACGTACGCGCAGCTCAATGTCGAGCATCAAGAGCTCATTCGGTAGGGAGGTGCGGATGGGATGTATATGCACAGCTAGCTAGCCACCCACCTCACACACGCTTTATTTATCTCGCTGCCTGTCACTCACTGCCTCTGGCCAGTCTGTTCCGCTCGTCCATCGAGGCATGCTCCCACCGGTCGCTCAGCCACCTGACGCCTCGTGTCGTCTTGGGCTACGCGAGGGCCCTGCTGAAGCTCACACCACCGCCCGATGACAGCCCGCCATCGCCCATGCAGATGGTGGGCCGGGAGGACTGACAGAGGGAGGGGCCTGCGCGGCCATGTCTGTCTGATTTGTGTTGTTGGTGCGCAGTACATAGAAGATGATGAGGGCTATCGGGGCAACCTGGAAGACCCGACGCTCACACGGCTGCGTGAGTGACCTGACTGACCTGCACACACACAGAGAGAGGGAAAGAGGGGACAGACAGACTAACTTGTAATGCATTTAATGTGTGTGTATGTGTGTGTGACGCTGCAGTGACGACTTTGCTGCATCGCTACGAGTCGCTCAACAACCATGACGTGGGTGTGCTGTGCAACGTCCTGCGGCAGGCCACCCACCCGGCTCCACTCATGAGCAGATACCCCACCTACGAGGTAAGGAAGGCAGTCGGCCACGGGCCGACCGGCCGGGAGCATTGAGTTGAGCGGGGTGGGTGCTTCTGACTGAACTGACAGACACGAGTGTCTGCCTTTATGATCTGTCTGTCTGTCTGTTCAGTTGGTGCTTCAGGGCGTGCTGCGCCAGCTGCCTGGCCGAATACCCACCTTCAATGCCATCGAGGTACACACACACACACACACACACACACCGACACTCAGGCAGATTCATCTGTCTGTTCTGTCTGCTCATACACTGCACTCACTGCCCTGCACTGTAAGGTTGGGGTCACATCCAACACGCTGAGCCACTTCCACCTCTTCCTCCCCGACGCCATGGACCAGCTCGCACACCGCCTGCTGTCCCTCGGCCCCGCACACCGCCCCTCCACACATAACCACGTGCTGCTCATCTCGTCGCTTGCAAGGCTCGACCTCACCCACCTGGCTTCATTCGACCGGCTGGCCCACCAGCTGCACGACGGTGGTTACGTGGCCGTGTTGCCGCGTGACGATGACTTGGTGCTGGCCAATCTGTGCCTGGCGTATGCTGTGGTGCTCAGCTCGAAGCGACCGGGGGGCGCTGGCCGTGTGTGTGGCTGGCTGGGGTGGCTGTGGCGTGTGTGGGTGTCAAGGACGAGGGAGAGGGAGAGGGGACCACCGGCGATGGCAAGACACCGGTCACAGATGGAGACGGCACTCATGGCATACTGGTCAGTCAGTCAGTCAGGCCGAGACGGAGGGAGGGAGGGAGGGAGGGGACACATTGCGGTCCGTTGTGTGTGTGTGTGTGTGTTTGGTGCAGGCACATGGTGCCATTGCTGATGAGAGCAGATGCACCCGTGAGCAGCACAACCGACCACAGTGTGTTGGCCCTGTCGTCCTGCCACCTGCTTCTTGACACGTGGCAGTCCATCCAAGGTCCAAACAGGGGCACACACACACACACACACACACACGTGGCCGCTCATCCATCCATCCATCCCTCCATCTGTGTGTGTCTGTCTGTGTCATTCATTGATTCCTTGTGTATCTGCGTCAGGTCCATCGACGGCGGGGGACCGCTTGACGCATGCCTCAAGGAGATGGTGACTGACTCACCGGCCGGTCGACCGACCGACGGCGAGACCGATGGATCTATGTTGATAGATTGTTGTTACTGTGTGCATGTTGCTGTGTGCGGGCCGGCCTTGGCTCTGTCATGTCGACGGCTGTGTTGGCTTCTTGGTTGCGGTACCTACACCTAGTTACAGGCTTCCGTTCGCCGGTTGGGGCGACTTATCCGTCTCTGTGCAACGAACCTTCCATGCTCCCCTCACACACAGTCCCATCAAAGGCACATGGGAGGGCTCCCGCCACACACACCCATTTTCCATGCCCTCCCTGTGTGTGTGTCTGGGACACTCAGGCACTTCTGTCATGTCATATGGCAGTCATGTCCATCCATCGCCCACTCACTGCATGAAGATGATGAGCTCGAGCGAGGGAGGGAGGGAGGGACGAAGCCATGGCGTGTGTGTCGTCTCTTCTCTCCCCCAGCCATACACACCGATACACACACCCACCCACCCACACACACACAGACGCACAGGCGCAACACCTACATGCGATTGACTGATCACTAGAAAGTCCCAAGAACCCAAACCCAATAGTGGCGAAAGACCCGCACCTAGACACAAACCAATAAGGCGACTCCTCAGTCGGTCTCTCTAACTGCGTCGGCGGACCAGGATGAATGCACACAAACAAGACAGCAACGCCTGACCACTCACAGTGTGGAGAAAAATCCGTGTGTGTATGGTATGTATCTTGTCTGCGCCGTGGTGCACATGGTGTCGACGCACACGGACATCCCACGCAGGACAATTAGGCGTGACATGAATCGAGACACGAACGAAGAAAGCAGAGGAAGGGCCACGGCTGGCTACGTAGAGCGCCCTGTGGGAGAATTTTCTTGGCTATGGCGCTTGATCAGGTCGTGTGTTTTGGCCAGCTCCTATCACACACACACACACACATCCAGCCAGCCAGCCAGCCAGCCAGCAATGTATGTCTCGCGCCCTGTTGGTGCGTGAGTAGGCGTGGGTCTTTCCCCCCGTACCTTCTCGAGTGCGTTTGCCCTTTCCCTGAGAGAATGACGAGACAGCCCAGCCCCCATACATACAGACAGACAGACCCGTCCGCCACAGACACACACATACACACACACACACACACACAGAGAGAGAGAGAGAGAGACCGAAACAGTGACTGCTGTCATCCCACGACCCTTCTGTCTGTGCGTGTGGCGTGTCTTGTTTGTGTCGTGTGGTTACCTACCGCAGGAGTTTGTCAATGTTGTCGTTGATGAGGCTATCGGCCCTGCTCCCTCGTCGCGCGCGCACCGCCAATGGGGACGGCGGCTCCCCAAAGACATCGTACGTGTGGATGCGCCGCGACACCTTGTTGACCGTCACAGGGCTCTCCTCGCCTACTTCCTCATCGTTTTCGTCGTCCACGTCATGCTGCGCCGCACTCACGTCTCCATCCTGTTGCCGCTGGTAGTAGTCAGCGGCGCTTGAGAACACGCTTACACGCTTCTTCTGCTCGTCGGTTGCTATGCGCTTCATTGCGGGGGGAGAGACGGCCGGCGGCATGACATTGTCGGGTTGCCCCTCGGCCGAAGTGACGATTGTGATTGGGTTGGCGAACTGTGGGCGCTCTGGCGCGATCTTGGTGCTGGCCTGGTACTTCTTGACAAACTGCGGATGTGTGGCCAGCTGACGATGAGAATGTCGTCGACGAACACCACAAGAAGGATGTTGTTGTCCTTATGCAGGTACACACAGGGCTCCTGAGGGTGGCGAACGAACCCTCTGTCGTATAGTTGGTTGTAGAGGGTGATGTTCCATGCGCGCGGGGCTTCCTTGAGGCCATACAATGCCTTCCATAGACGAACAACATGGCCGGGCCTCTCATATCCAGGTGGGCACCGCATAAAGAC